TAATACCCCCTTCCCTCATGTACTATACATCTTCTTTGGGACGATCTTATTCTTGAATTAGATCACGACTTTGGCCCTTTTAGCCTAAAGGAAATGAACTTGATTTTGTCTTAGCCCACTTGCCTTTAACCTCTTTTCACAAATTCAACTGTTAAACAAAATGATGATTTTTATGGAAAACAAGTTGATAAGTTAGTTTCATAAAAGAAAAAACACAACAAAATTTAATATTTTGAATGGTGTAGTTAAATGAATTTGAAGCCCCAAAACAAAAAGAATGTAAATTATGTGATAGAAATCTGGACAAGGAAGTATTGTCTCATATTCAAGTTATTTTTTGTTTATGTTTTTCTCTTTTCTGTTCAATTGTGTTTGCTCAGTAATTGAAAGGTGCGAGTGAACACTAACTCTGCATGTTATAACTATCTTTTTTTTTTTTATGTTTTTGATTCTTCATCATCTAGACTTTAATGTCTATCCATCTGGTGTGCATGTATTCATTCATGTCAAGTAATATCTCTCTTATGGGAAAACGGACTAGGTTTGCCTCCCAGTTATTTGATGAACTACTTAATTGTCTATACTAAGGTCGTCAACTTCTACAACCTTTGGATATTAAATATAGTAGTAGTTTTGTAAGGCTATAACGGATTAACCCAATCTAAAAAATATACATTTGCTACTAGATATAGTAGTAGTTATGTAAGGCTACAACGAATTAACTCAATGGAACTAGATAGTTGATAAATGCATGTGCGAGAAGATGCTAATATGAAAAGGGTAAAATATGACTATATAAATGTGATGCTTATTAGGAGTTTATGTTTGTGAACTAGAAGAATTATGTTTCTTAGACATGGGTATGCACTATGCCTTTATTGTTAGTTTTGTTTGTATTAGGTTAAGTGAAGTTTTAGAAATTGAGAATAGGATATGAATTTGGACACTACATGGACTATACATGCTGATAATTCATAAAATCTGTAAAAATAAACAAACAAACTGTGTATCTATTTCTGTGGGAATGCAATTTTTCTTTGATAAGTCAATTCTTAGGGTAAGATATCAATAGCATGCTGAGTAAAAGATGCTGACACCCATATCCCTGGAAAAGTAGTAGGCCTTCTAGTGATATATAGGAGATACCATAGCATCACGCTTTCTAGGAGTTCCTTCTTGGCTAATGGTATCCTAGCCACTTGCTAAACTCAAGGTCTAGTGTTTGAATGTTCTTTTGGGGAAAAAGTGGCTATGATGCTCTTCTGATCATAGAGAAATGTATCCAGGGCTTGAGGTACAAATAACCGTGTGAGGGAAAGTAGCCAAGGAGTAAATGAGGAAAAACAACTGAAAATAGTAAGTTGTTGAAATTGTCAATCTATAAGCTGGAAGCATCCTCTATCAAAGCATTGAAGCAGCATATACAATCCAAGCACCATACCAGGTGGATAAGCTGCACATAACAGCCTGAAGAATATTGTGTACTCTGTGCATTGGGGAATCAGCTAAGCATGTGCTGTATGCTTCTTAAAAATGTGCTATAAGTTAATTCAATTTGCATATTTTTGACTGTATTCTCCTCGAGATCTTCTGAATTCTTTGATACATACTTGTTCTTTGGGTGATACTAGCTGCCTATAATCTGGTGACTAGTTCCAGCTTGTGATATTCATTAGTTTAAATTGTAATAATATCTCCTTTTCTAGAATGTGTTGAGAATGGCATCTAGGCCCGTGATTCCAGAATAACTTTATTCTGCTCTCTAGATGAATAATCTACATTTGCTTTTCCTTCAGTTTTTGTCAAGGCATAACACTAGAATATTTTGTTGTATCAGTTGATGGATATCAATGAAAGTCCTTTGTACGTTCTTCTCAATCCTTCTATCAATCATGCACAGAAGGACTTGCCAATCACTATCTATGAAAGTGGTACGTGTATATTATTTGTCATATTACTGATGCTTTGTCATATTACTTGTAATATCTCCTTTTTGGATGGCAGATAACATATTTTATACAGAGCCTTCCACCACGACCCTCATTATTGTTCTAACCATTTCTCAAATGATTTTGGGGTTTATGCCTTGTGTGCCAAACCATGATTCATAAACTTTGTAGAAATTCCAATTAGAATATCTTCTTGTGTCCATCTTTTGAGCTCCTTAAGTTACTGATGAGAATTTACTGGTTTCTTTTTTGTGTTTTGAAACTATTTATGGATACTCAAAGAGTTGCATATCATTGATGGCATCCCACAGCTTATTTTTGCCCAAGCAAGCTACACAATAGAGGTATCTCCTTGTGCATTTATCATATCATCTTCTCCACAAATTCTTCGGAACATCTAACAAATTCGTTCTCACTTGCAATACCTGACTGTTTACTAGACCGTTGAAGCTGAACGGATATCTGTTGATCATGTTGCACATCTTAAACCATCCGATGGAGGCTCTGCTGCAACTCAGTGTGAGCACCTTTAACTTCATTTGTCTTCGCAAAGCTCAAGCTTTTATTGATGCTTTATACAAAGTAGAATGATCTTACTGTTGCCCTAACTTTTTAGTGACATGGTTTGTCTATCATTTATTTATTTATTAGTTCTATTTGTGCAGTGGCTGCGCACCTTACCGGCACACATAGTGCCATCAAGATGCTGAACAGCAGAATTAGAGTGCTACATCATTATCTTCTTGCTATGCAAAAAGGTATCCAGTTTTGGCTAGAAGTTGAAGCTACATTCTAGTTGATTGTCGAAGAAGTTCCTTATTGTGGAAAAAACACTTTTAAGTTTACTGGGAGAATACTCACCACGAAATATAGTTTTAGATAAAACCCTAGGATACTAGTTGACATATATATTTTGCATCTGAAAGTCTACGATGCTTAGATAGCCTCATGAACTATCCTAGTCAAGAAAATGTATCTTTACTTGAAACTGTTTTTGGAGAACACAAACTTTTTCGACAATTAACATGGAAATGGAAGAGAATATTTTTTCATGGTGCAGTGGCTGTAGAGTTTTAATGTCTTCCCTGTTGGGTGTAGGTGAAATTCCTTGTGAGAATTCATTGCTCAGGCAGGTCTCCAGTCTTTTAAGAAGATTACCAACAATTGAGTCGGAGAAATTTCGAGATGATTTCTTGATGGTAGGTGTTCTTTGACCTTGTTATTGGAGTTGACGTGGTTATAGTAATGTAGCCTTTCAGTATTCTCTCTTTTTTTAAAAAAAAAACTTTGGAGTTGGAAATGCCTCTTTATTTGCAGGATATTTTTTAAGAGTTTTCTAATAAGACTTTCATCAGCTTCAAATAATTACTATGTAATTGAAACGTTGGAAACTGCTAACTAGAAATTTTCATATTTGTTCTAGGTCCACCAATCAGCTTTTGCCACTTTCTGATTCTATTACTTTATTTGCTCTTTTCTTGTGTGCAGGAATATAATGACACATTGTTAGTTAGTTACCTGGCCATGTTCACCAACTGCTCTAGGTATGATGTCTAAGGCTTCTTGCACTAATGCTTTTGAGATTTGTATAAGTAGTTAAATCTTCTTCCCCTTTTACTCCTTTTATTTTTCATTGTTAAAGAAATATCCAAGATTATTGTGTTGACAATAGGGCTAAAGTTCAGATAATAATGGTTTTTGCCGAAGTTGCATTAAGTTTAAGTGGGAATGCAGATAAAATTGAGGTGTCCTGTGAATTTGGTTAAGATATCATATATAAACTTAGCGCAGCCTAAGATGGCAGGAGTTTTGTAAGTTATATTTATCGACAAGCAGGAGAAACAGTTCCCTTGGCCATCTCTTGTATATATTTTTTGTTTGTTTGAATCCTGTTTATTAAGAGTCAAATATAATAGGATCTAAATTTTTTCTATTTTCTTCGTTGCAGTACAATGAACGAGTTGGTTGACAAATTCAACACTGCATATGAACGGCATAGTAGGAGGGGCGGGAGAACTTCTTTTATCTGAAAGTTGATATATCTCCAATATTGCCCTTTTGTGCTATTTATTTCCTGCAGTAGTTACAGCATCGGCGAATTTAGGTATCCCATTCATGAGGATATAGGAATCATTTAGTAGCTTCATTTTTCTTTTGCTTGTCCTTTGTGTTAGCCTCCCCATTTTCGTTGATTCTTGTGTTGCTATCATAGATATGTAGAAAATGGCAGATGTTTTTGGGTAGAAAAGCTTTTAATTAAGCACTATGGTATTTTCCTGCTTCCTTCTCTGCAGTAGTAATTTTATTCAAGGATTATTCCATTTGTCATAATATAGTATAGAATTTGAAAGAATTGTGTTGTGAGTTGCCCAAAAAAAAAGTGAAGGGGTTATATATATGGCGAGCCAGTGTTGATCCTTTTAACTTTTACGATTTGTCTGTTTACCTTTCAATTTAGAGATAATGGTTAAAAATATACTTAGAAGTATTACTGTTTTGCGAGTTTTTTACTTGGATTATTAGGTATTTGTGTTTTCTATATGAACTATTATTCATCAAAACACACCTTGAACCTTTGATTAGTATCTACTGATGTATGGTGTACACTCTTGTTTTGTTTAAAAATAGTGTCAAATGGCACTCACCGCAGATAATTAAAGAAATTAATTGATTTAAAAAAAAAAGTGATAATGGAAAGCACACCTGAAATATCATTTCTTTTAGAATTTTCTTTTTGAACTTTAAGTATTTGCATATCGTCAATTATTTATTAAAACACACATTGAAATTAATGAGTCAACTCTCATTTAGACGGAATTTTATGGGTAAATTAAATTGTTACGTGCTTTTTGACGATTGTATACAAGCACTTGGTCTTGTCAGCTTCAAGGTGTGTTTTGATAAATAATTGATGATAATTCGAATAGAGAATGCAAACGCTTAATAGTCTAGATATGAAACTCACAAAAAAATTATAGTTGAGATGTGTTTTTAACCGTCGTCTCTTTAATCCATGTATATCCAGCTTAGTAGCTAGGTAGACAACAAAAATAATTCAAATTTACCCTTAAAACAATCAAAAAAATAGGTTCATTATTTGGTACAAAAGCAGAGTCATGAAAATAGTAATTGGTACATCCTTATTAGATAATACTGAATGAAACAATACATCTTTTTAAACAGCACAACACAATCCAAGATCTAAAGACACAGAGCTGGAGCAGATAACCTCATGGTTCTCAAAATCAGATCGATAATTCGGTTTTTGATACGAGGATGCCATCACTATCTGCATATAACCACTCTCCTTCGCGAATCAGCATACCTCCAATGTAAATAGGAACATGCTTTTCGCCTTGGCCTTTCTTGTTCGATTTCTGAGGGTGTGATGCCAATGCACGAACACCAATATCACAACCGTTAATCTCATCTACATCTCGAATGCAGCCATTAACTACAATACCTGCCCAGCCCATATTCTGGGCTAGTTGTCCCAAGTTTCCTCCTACCAAAGCACATCGCATACTCCCTCCACCATCTATGACAAGTACTCTTCCTTCACCTCTAGTTTCAAGAAGCTCCCTAACCAACACATTGTCCTCAAATACCTTAAGGGTCGTAATGGGGCCTGAGAAAGCTCGGCATTGACCATATATCTTGAAGACTGGTGGCAAAACTCGTAGATCACCATTTGACAGATCCCCTGCATTCACATCACACACTTCTGCTGTTGCCAAGGATGCCATCTAAAACTGTAAACGTTAGCAACTGAATTAGTTCATTTTCTTTCCCCGCAGCCATTATCTATCATATGCCAGTAAAAAATATAGAGAATGAGATTAGCTAAATGGAGAGACATGGTTAATGATGATAATAATCGACCTCAACTTGCTTGGTAGTTGTTATTATGCATCGTTTACCTATCATGTTTCATGTGGCATGCCTGAAAATCTCCGGACACCTTAAACATAATGCTTGCATTGCATTTCTATGTAGGCATAATGACACAAAACATATATTTGAAATTTCAATCGAAGTGATGTTATCATATCTTAAGTTGTCACAGCTTGAAGAACAAATCAGAACAAAAAAGAATTCTTAGAACTAAAGTTATATCTTCATTACAAATGTGTAAATCTGCTATATAGGCCTTGTAGGAGCCAGAAAGACGTTGAGACCGTGCATAAACTCTTCATGTAAATCAACTATAAGCAGACAGAACCCACAAATATCAGCATTACAGCAAATATAAAACCAGCAAGGCAAAAGCAAAACTCCAAAATAAGAAGGCAGTGCTGCATATGATTGAAAAGGTTGAACATGGTTAAAAGATCAGTGCAACCAGTAATTCATGAAAATTGGCTAAAAATGAAATTGTATCTCGAATCAAGGACCGTGATGAATCTACTGGTTCTACCATAAAATCAGCTTCCTATTCCCTAAAATCCTTAGAAATTGCATGACACATGCTCAGAATGATGTGAAACAAACTTATATAGAACTGTCAATCCATAAAAAACAACAACCAATAATAAGATCGTCTAGAAACAAGGTTATCAACCAAAGCGGATTACTGAATAACTTAGAAGGATAGATATTACTGCGCGCTATGGATGGTCCAATACAGAATGTAATGAAATGGTTGATAATATCTATAGGTTCTCTGTGAGAACTGCAGTTGATTAATACGTTCAACGCAAGATTCATACGGGAAATAACATCAAGAAATCTAATTTCTGCTGGCATTCTGCAAGATATAACTCTCTGCATTCACAATATATGTTCGCGATGAGTCAAAATAAGGGATCAGATACTATATCTTACTGTTATACTAGCAATATGTATATATATACAAGTTCACCAAGCAAGAAATGTTACAATACCATATGTCTACACAAGAAAACTACCATTAGAGACACACTCCAATGACATTAAGCCAGCAGAATCAGCACACTTTTCCCCAGAAGCAACAAAACATGCAGATAAAAGTAACAATTATGGCGTGTGACCTAAGGGTCAATAAAGCGAGTTGAGAATCATAAGTTCTCATATTTAAATTCTAGCGAAACAACAACACTAGTTGAGTTTTTCCACCTGTTCAAGCCTAGATGGACAAAGTTGTCCGGCTATGTTGCTCAGACTCTCTAAAAATATTGCCACACCCATTCATATCCTTCAAAAATTGCACTACTTTTAGAAGATCCAACAAGCATCCACAACATTTTTGAAGAGTCCGAACAACACAGTTATCCGGTACCTATGTTGGTGGGAGGTGGGAGGCAGCAAGCAGGGGAGTAGCTAGAGTGCAATCTACGTGTTTGGCCGAACTCATTAGCTTTTGTTCAAACTCTATACTCATCTTAAAAAATCCACTAAATATGTACAAATTATTAATTTAAAACCCAGTAACTAGAGTAAACAAGAATTCCAAATTCAACAACAACATAACTAGTGTAATTCCACTATGTGCGTTCTGAGAAGGTTAAGATATACGCAGACCTTACCACTATATCATGAAAATAGAGAAATTGTTTCCGAACTCGTAAACTTTAAACTCGAATACCAAAGTTGTAAGAAAAGTAACAGTTACAATTCTGCAGTTGTACTCATTACAACTGATTAAAGTTATAGCCTAATAGTCACAGTTGATTACGACTTTCTAACGTAATAACTATCAGTAGAGTGAGTGACTATACGAGAAATCAACCTATCGCAGAGTCCTCCAATCCCATCAAAACACACAAACATGGAATTTTTCTTTAATTAAATAAAATTATGAGTGTGTGAAGCTAATTTCATATTTTTTTAACCTCAACCAAAGTTTGGGTTTTATTTATCCAAATTCACAAAACCAAAAAATCAAAATCATAAACAAAACAGATAAAATCAACACCCAAAAAAAGCAATAAAGAATAAAAAAAATTACCTTTTTATGAACCTTTATGGAATTCAAGAATGAAGCTCTTGATGTTGAAATTGTAAATTTCGAAGTAGATCTAATCTATATATTATATATAAAATCCAACATCACTGTTTATTGATTCATACAGTGACGATGACCTCTCTCATATCTTGTTGGTTTTTGTGCCACTCATCCACAATTTTCAATTGGCCAGTGTTCAATTTATACCATTGGAGTTTTCATTTATTCGATTATTTTGATTTGATACAAAATTTAAAATGTTAATTTTTTTAAATTAAAAATACGTCCAATGTATCAAAAAAAATCATTTATAATCTTATTATTTTAAACATATCGCGAGAGTTAAAATTAAAATTAAAATATTGCTAAAAGAAAAGGATCATTTTGATTAAAAAGAAAAATATATTAATCAAATTAAAATAGAAATAATGTTTTTTTATGCAGTTTCATATATATATATATATAAAAATGAATTGTAAATTGATCATCAGAGTGAAAGAGCAAAATATAACATAATAATTTAAATGTAATTTGACACTCATAATTGTATAATAACTACAATAATGATTGAAGAAATGAAGTGATGAGATTTTATTGGAATTTCAAATAAAATTTGAAAAAACGGTTAAGTTATTACCTAATTAATATTAATATTCTCCATTATTATGTGATTTTCTTTCTTATTTAAGAGTCATAATTATATAAGAAAATTTGTAGTTGAGTATATTATTATGACTTTATTTAGAGAAGAAAATAGCAAAGAGAGAATTTAAGAAAATGAAATAAATGATAATAATGACAAAGTTATATGTATATTTCTAACTTAGAAGAAGACGGAAGAAAGAGAAGAATTAGAGGGAGATTTGAAGAAATAAATTAAATATTAATATATATTTTTTTTGAGTTTTTTGATTAAAAAAATCAATAAAAACAGTTTTAAGAAGATGCCATCTCACCATTTTATTATCTAATTTTAGTATTGTATATTTTAGTAGAAAAAATAATTTAAAAATTCAAAATAAAAAAACAAAACAAATTTTGTAAAAACAAATAATACAATACTTATAAAGTTATAATAATTGATTCCTGGGATTAAACAAATAAATAAAAGAAAGTAAGAAGAACAAAGAAAGGAAAATGAGTGATTTAAGAAAATGATATCAAATAATATTAATATGAAATTAAGGGAATGTGAGAAAGGATGAAATGAATACTTTCACATATAGCAAACAAAAAAATCATACATGTATGCTATAGCAAAGTTTGCATAATTGCGCTCCATAACAAACATATATATGTATAATTTGCTATACATATACAATTGAAAGCTGTCTATTTCGCTATACATATATACAGAAAGAAACAATTGTTTAATTCGTTGGCTCATCTTCAGAATTGTATAATTTCGCTGGCAGGCCATTTGTATAAATTGTTGTTAGCCTCTCGTTTGTATAAATCGTTGACAAAAATATTTGTATATAAAAAATCGCTCTCTTTCGCTTTATACAAACATAAATTATACATTATACAAACATAAAACTGGGCAGGGGAATATTTTTATTGTATAATTATTAATGTATAGGACATTCATATATGTATTTGCATGTGTATATACAATTTTCTCGTGCTTTATACAAACAGAAACGCAATTTATACAATTATGTTGTATAAAACGAGAAAGATAGAAAGACAAAAGAGAACTGGGCAGGAGAATATTTTTATTGTATAATTATAAGTGTATAAGACGAATATATATGTATTTGCATGGGTATATATAATTTTCTCTCGCTTTATACTAACAGAAACACAATTTATACACTTTTGTTGTATAAAGCGAGAGAGGCGAGCACAGAGGGAGTGAGTGAGAGAGGAGAGTGGCGAGCAAGAGTTTGAGGGAGAGAAGCGCTGACAAACAGTTTGCTACAGGACACAATTAAATCAAAGTGTGATTATACCATTTAATTTGAATTAATAGTTTGCCATTATGTACAATTTTCCCCATTAAAATATGACTATTTTAAATATAAAATTGTAAGGTAAAACGTTTAGTTTTTTAAAATTAGCAAAAAGGCCAAGCAAAAAACAATTTAAAAAATAACAAATATCTTATTTATAGTTTAACAATGTCGCATCGGCAAATAGCCTCTATTTTTTTTCCTTATAGCTAATTAACAATACCTTATAATATAAATTGATATGAATTTTAATAAATAGTTGTTTTCTTTCTCTATATAATTCTTCCGTGATCTCCTTCTAATTTAATATAAATTTCATAAATAGATTGATTCTTTATCCAAATGTTTTTTCTTGCCATACCAGTTTGTCTATATCCAACTTTATATAAATTGTTCACAATTGTAATATTACGTTTAGTAATTTATTAATAATTGAAGGCTCAAAAGTGTTATTAGTTCTATTGGCCAAGGATATTTGTGTCAACATAAGTTGAAATTAAGATATTTTGTTCTGATCCTACATCTTGAAATGAACATGATAATTGCAAGATAAACTTACATATATTTGTTAATATCTTAATTAGCTTCGTCTAACAAAAATAAATACTTTTAATCAGCCTCGCTGCTCCCCGCATAGTCATGTAATTTGGACGAAAGCTTAGGCAATTGTGTTGAAGTTTCCTAATGTGTTGTTTTATTTCTGATGTTTTTTGTTTTTTTTTTTTGTTTTTGTTTTGAGCTTTGTAGGTTTCTTTATTTTGTCCACAAATGTTCTTATTTTTTGGATATCAATAAAATGGGACGAAATTCGATTAAGAAAAGAAAAGGAAACTAAGACATTTTAGGAGGGAATACTATAGGAATTGTGTTGAAGTTTCATAATGTGTTCTTTTGCTTATGATGTTTTTTTATAAGTTCGAGCAATATAAATTATAATAAAGTTTAAACTAGTCAAGAAATAAATAAATTGATGAATAGTTATAACAACAATGAAATCAGCAATATAGTAGGTGTTTGGCCATGTGATATCATATCATCATATGAAATTATGACATGAAATCAGTGTTTGGATATATGATTTCACATTGATTTCAACTCATGATTTCATATCGTGACATGAAATTCCAAATTCACCGAAAATCATGATTTGGAAATTTTAATGATATTGACACCTATCAATTGCATTTTATAGACAATGTTTGTGACAAGGTCAACAATCAAGTCATTAAGAAAGTGTTTGAGATCTCCATCAATTATTACTCAACAGATATATACATGAGTAACTAAAAGTCTTCGTGAAGCTGAGTTCTGATATTCTACGAAAGTTGCTTCTTGGGATCTACTCATTATACCCATCACTAAAAATACATTGTTCTCTTATGCTCTTATGGATCATTTGGTAACTAGTTAGGAGATATGTTATTCGTATATTAAATCATGCACAAGTAATATATACTATGTTTGACAATCGGTAAGGATTATGTATAAAATTGATTTGTTGTTAGATTTGTACTTTAGAAACGTATATAACTAATATATATATAAGCTATAAGGAAATCTATGTATAATATAATGTAGGAAATAAGATGGAACAACCAATACATAAATAACAAAATCTAACATAAAATAATACAAAAAAAAATTCATAACTAATTCATGTATTGCTAATACATGTATAACTCTAACCAGCTATCAAACGACCCCTAAGCGGACGTTGGGTAGTTGGTTAGAGTTATATACGTATTACTATACTAGTAATTAGAAATTTTTATGTATTATTTTATGCATGTATTAGTTACGTAGAGTTTAATTAGTTCTTTATGTACTAATTATTCTTTCTTCTATCATGTATAAAATAATATAAGATTCATCATAACTTTTACATGTATTAGTAACGTGAATTTATAAATTGTAAGTCAAACATCATTTTAATATTATATATAAATAACTCACTTCTTAACTGGATACTAAACATTGTACTCCTTTCGTCCATCTTTACTTGTTCACTATATTATTTCGAGATATCTAATAAGTAATACTTATCAAGTAAATAAAATCAACTAATTTTTCTATAATGTTTACATTAATTAAACATGATATAATTATAAAATCGCATAGTATTTTGATGGTTTTAATTTGTGTATTCTCAAGCCACGTCTATAAATTTAATTATATTGTTTTTTTTTTAGTTTTAGTGAAAAAACATAAAGTTAATTATATTGTTTTTTTTTTAGTTTTAGTGAAAAAACATAAAGTTAATTATATTGTTTTTTTTTTAGTTTTAGTGAAAAAATATAAAGGACTATTTATTGTATTTTTTTGGGAAAAAGGTCAAAAATACCCCTCAACTTTGGTTTATTGTTTGACTTTACCCTCGCCGTTAAAATGAAGTTAATTTTACTCCTTTCGTTACTAATTTCACCAAATTTACCCCTCAATTGGATGGAAAACCCAAATCAACTAAAATTACCCAATTTCAATTAAATAACCCAATTTTTTCTCTTTTTAATCCAAACCCGACCCATTTATACCAAATTAAAACCCCAAATCAAGCTCCGGCGATCTCCATCCATTTTCTCCGTTTTCCGGCTAAACACCACCAAAACAACCTCCAAACGACCACCTGAAACCACCACTCAAAACCCCCAAAAACCAGAAACGACATCAAGTAGAAAACATTAACAACAAACCCATTTTCCTCTACTTTCCGATGACGACAACAAGATCTTTCTTCTCCATTTCCGGCCAGTTCCAAGCTGGAACAACATTAACCAAACCACCCACCGTCGGAATCATTCAAACAACCGTGAAATCGACCCGAAACAACTCTCAAACACCACCCTCTCCATGCCAAAATCCAGCGGTAAAACCACACTTCAGCCCACCAGAACCCAGACCTCCATCACCCAAGCTAAAACAACCAGCAAATGACCACCAGACCAGTAATTCTCCGACCTCCAAACAACCAACCAAAAAAACCCCGACCAAAACCCCATCGGAAAACAACTGAAGCACCGCTAACAGATCAAACCAACAACACAATCAGGCGAGAATCAAGGCTCGAAAACAACAGCCACAACTTCATATCTGGCTAGGCTCAACAAGCAAGCAATATCATAGTTTCAGATCTGCCCGCAGGAAAGCAAAATCCGATGATTGAACGAGCTCCAAGCTCCGACTAGTGGTGCAATTTTAGTAGGAAGGACAAATATGCATTAACCACACTAG